GGTTACATTTACTTGGAATTTTTTTTTCTTTTCACCTTAATGTTGTGCTTATCCTTGAGGGTAAGTTCAATTTCTTATAGGCAACAAAAACCTCGAGTTTTTGAGTTTCTTGTAGAAAACAAAGCGATGAATTTTGTCGCCTAATTCATTTAAATAAGCAGTTTATTGTGATTGGTGATTTGAGGCCATTAATATTTTTAAGTTATTATTGAAATGTTTGTTGATTGCAATAATTTTGTTGTTTTATTTTTGTAATTGTTTCTTGTTTGTGTTCTTAGTCATACTTTGTGTCTCAGTACTTAGAACTTAATTTATTTTCTTTCTATAGTCTCTTGGCTATGCTTACTTCTCTCTTCTGCCTGAAGTATTGCTTTCAGTATTCTCTATAGGGCTGATTTTGTGGACATATTTTCTGTTTTGTTCTGTTTCTTATTTGTTTTTTGTTTTGTTTTGTTTTTTTTCAAGACATGGTTTATGTGTAGTTTTGGCTGTCCTGGACTTGCTTTGCAGAGCAGTCTGGCCTCAAACTTATAGAGATCTGCTTGTCTCTGTCCCCCCCACCCCCAAGTGCTGGGTTTGCAGGTGTAGACATATATTTTAAGCATATTTATATCATGGAAAGATTTTCTTTTTCTTTCCATTATAGCTGATATACTTTTCCTGGGTAAAGTAATCTAAGCTGATATCAGTGGTCTTTGAGAACTCAGAGTGTATTGCTCCAAGCTCCTCTGGCTTTCATTTTTCTTCTAAAGAATAATTGTTTTTTGGATAGTTTTTTCTTTCTATGTGACCTGTGCCTTTTCTTTTGCAGCTCTCATATCCATTATTTATAGATTATGTATTAATGTTTTATCAATAGTATGCCATGGGGAATTTATTATCTGGTCCTGTGTAGTTGGTGCTCTCTCTGTTTCTTGTATGTGTAAGTGTATGTCCTTAATTTGGGTAATTTATTCTATGATCCTATTGAAGATCTGCTTTATGCATTTAACCTGAGATTTTTTTTCCTTCTGCACTAATGATTCAGAGATTTTGTCTTTTCAAGGTCTTCTACAGTTCCTGTGTATTTTTCCCCTGTGTTTTTTTTTTTTTGTATTTTATTTGTTCAATTGGTTCAATTACTCTACTTTTTCTTCAAGACTTGATATTTTATTTTCTACTTGATTCATTCTCTTTGTAAGGCATTTCCCTGCATTTTGTAATGGGGTTATTGAGTTTTTCAATCCCACCTTTATTTTAGCTTTAGGAAATTTAGCTCTTTTAAATGAGATAGCCAGTATCAGAGGCAGTGGAAATTCAGGACTTCTAGAACCCTGTGATGATACCAAAGTGTTATAGCTCTTGGTTAAGATACTGTGCTAAGCACAGCAGAGAATGCTGGCAAAAGCCCATGCCTAATCTGACTGCAGCTGAAACACAGGCCTGGTGGGGTCCAGGTCCAGTGGGTCAGAAGGCATGTCAGATGCTATGCAGGCCTAGCAGAATGCGTATCAGTGGCTGCCAAGGCAGTTCTGCAAGCAGATGAACAACCTTCAGTCAAGCCCTAGGGCAGTCCAGAAGTACTTGGGTGGTTAGGCAGGCTCTAGCCAGCCTGGCAGGCAGCCAAGCCCTTGGAGTTCAACAGCAAATCTCCAGGGACAGTGAGGTGAGCCCTCCTTTCCCAAAATAAAAGATCAGTCTCAGGCAATCATGGTGAACCGCTGATGGTATCACCCAGTATGCAGCACCCACTATTTCATGTGATATCAGGGACTTATAAACCTTGGGCAGTGGGAGGGTTTTTGAGGGTAAATGTCTTTTATTCAATGGGGTCAGGGATGCTAGGGATACTTGATTTACATGTAGTGTTACAGTACCTTATTTACATGCAATAGCATGGTCCTATCACAAGAAGAACATAGTACTTAATTATCCTATGGGTGGGAGAAAATAGCCAAATGCAATTGCATTGCTGAAAACCAATTTCTTAGCATACGATTGGTTATTTCCAGGAATTCCCATGTGTTTGCGCTGCAGGCTTTCTTATCAGGAAAGGGTCAGGCCTGAAATTGTCCATGGGGGTTATGTGACACTCTCTACAAGATCTGGGGTTACTATTTTAGGTGGAAATGGAACTCTGCTGAGAAAACGGAGTCTATTGTAATAGACTCAGTTGCCTATCTGGAAATGCCAGACTTCAGCCTTAAAAGCAGAGTTCCAACATGTCCTGGTGTTTATTGGGGGTAATTTTCATTTGAGAACACTTCTATAAGACTAGTAGTTTTGGGAAAGGAGCACATACAATCTTGGCCTTTCATGTTGTTTATTTTTCTGGTGTGATTTGGGTATGTGGACCTGTTTCATTGGTTGTATGTCTGGTATCAGTTTCTAGCTTACCTCCGACTAAGATGGTGTAGGGGTTGTATATCTGCATCTAGGTCTGAGAGTATGGGGATGACTGTGGCAGGTGAGGTTTTGTGGAGCTCAGCAGGCAAGGCAGGTGCAGGAGCTGCATATCTTAGAGGTGGAGTTAGGCCCAAAAAAGCACAGATGGCTCTTGTGGGGCTCTATAGGGAATAACAGTGCAGAAGCTGCACAGTTGGAGCTAAACCTGAGAGTGTGTGGATGGTGCTGGAGGGAGAGTTTCTGGAGAACTCACCAGGAAAAGCAGGTGTGTGACGGGTGACATTTACAGACAGGATTAGGCCTACGGGTGTGGAGATGATGTGGACAGTCTTGGTTTTCTATACTTGAATTTTAATTGTCTTGTACAGATCTTGTGAAGAACCCACAGGTGCTGTGTCCATGTGTCCCACCCATATCCAGAAGACAGACAGTGTTTCACAGTGTTTCTTCCATCCTTCCACCTCATTCGTATTTTCTGCCTCTTCTGCAATGTTCCCTTAGCCCTTTGTTGGGGGAAGATTAATAGAGATATCCATTTAGGGTTGAGCACCTAACTTATTCTCAGTACCTAACCACTTGTGAATCTCTGCATTAACCACTGTTGGTTTCCAAATAAAGCTTCTCTGCCCAAGATGTAGACCAGCCAAAAATCAGCTGGATGGTGTTGGTGTGTGCCTTTAATCCCAGCAGAGGCAGGCCATACTGGTGTACAGAGTGAGTTCCAGGACAGCCAGGGATACACAGGGAAACCTTGCCTGGAGAAAAACAAGAACAAGCAAACAAACATAACACCACAAATCTTTGAGTATAAACATAAATATTTAGAAAGCAGTTTGAATTTATAACTACTTATCAAAATAACAATAGCAGGCTCTAACCTAGAATCTATGATGGATTTTTCATTAGGTGTACAGTACCAGGCATGAAATTTCTCCTGTGAAATAAACCACACGTGCAAACAGAAATCAATTCATTAGTCTTATTATTGTCCTGCCACTATTGCACCAATGGAGTGCAAGGGGGGTCAGGCAGAAGGCATCTAACAAGCTTTCCCCTGGAGTACAGGGAGACTCAGTATCCCTCCGCTACTCCCTCCTGCTCCCCAACTCCAGGTCTCCTCTCCATAAGCCCCCCTCCCTCCAAAGCCCTCATAGACCCTATCTCTCAGACATCCCAAACAGTGTAGTGGCGCCAAAACTGGCTAGTGTAAACAGGGGTCTTCTGAAGCCCAGTGGTGCAACCCACCCCTCCAAGTGGAGTGAGGCTGTCTCTGGCTCCGCCCACTCCGAGTCGGAACTACTGTGGGTCCAGGAGGGGGCGTCGAGCCTGGCGACATATCCCTCCGCCCCCTTCCCGACACCCTCTAGGCGAGCTCTGCCTGCCGCATCCTGCGCAGCCCCTGCCCCTTTGGTGCAGAGGCGTGGGGGCGGGACGCATCTCTGCCGTTCCACACGCACTCAAAGCAGTCAGAGCCCGGTGAGAGGAGCTGCGGAGGACTGAGGGCAGCCAGGAGCAGACGGGGGACGCGGGAGAGCCCAGAGCGCTGGGCCGTGCGCCTGGCCAGGCAAGTGGGAGTGTGTCGAGGGCTCTGGGCGGTCGGTCGCGCACTGCGGACCACTGCCGGGCCCTGACAGTCCGGTGGAGGCGAGCGGGTCGTGGCTGCGCCGGTCGTGGCTGCTCCCTGGAGTAGGGCGCAGTGCCCCAGAGACCACGGGCAGTGAGGAGGAGGCGGTATCCCGGGCCGGGGAGCTGGCGCAGGGTGGCAGCTAAAATGTCTGAGTCTGAGGGTCTTGAGGCCTGCGTAACAGATGGCCTAGTAGCCGGCTTCACCCCTTGCTGGGCCCTGTGAAGAGTGTGGAGGTGGCGCCTGGCCTGTGGGAGAAATGGCGGTGCGCGGGAGCTAGGAAGTGGTGTCCCTTGGAGGTCGCTGTCAGTGGGTTGAGGACAGGTGGCCAGCTCTGGGGATACCTTAACTCACGGTGGTAAGATGCCTTGTTACCTGGGACCTTATTCCTGAAAGGGGCCCTTGTGCCCTGCATCGTGGGTGCTGTTTCTTCCCACAGGCGCCTGTTTGGTGGCAAAGTCTCCAATCTTGGTGGTAGGAGTCGTGCATTCTGGGGGAACGGGAGAGATAATTAGAGGGGCAATTATGAAGACAAAAGAATATAAGAATGAAATGTTCATCTGACTTCAATACAAGGTTGTTTTATTGCCTTCTGTATTTAGCATCTTGTGCCTAATTTAACACAAGCAAATGGTCATAAGGAATTGGTCATATACACAGAATTCCTGGCAACATAATTATTATGACATCATCCTAACTTTTATATTCAGGATCCCTTTTCTCAACATTATGTTTCACTTTGAACATTTTTTTATATGTTCAAATGGGAGTTAAAGTACAGGAGAACTTTTTGTGCTGGTGGACTTTGAATCCGAAGATGGGTGTGTGGGTCAAACATAATAGTAGACAAAGTTCATTTACTTGGTTCCTGATTCTTTAAAAGTGGTATTTGAACATGGGCTTTAGAAATCTGCCTATAAACCTAATGATTTTATGACATGTTAAACATTTTTTAAGTTTTTTTTCAATATCTTTTGCTTTCCATAGGTCAACTCTTCTCCAGCCAGAGGACTCTTCTTTAGTGGGAAGGATAGCAATTTCTGAGGATCCTGCTTTGTGGTGAGGCTAACATTGATAGGACATGAGGTAAGATCTTGATATAGAAGGGGAGGCTGGTAATTTAAACGTGGTCTTGAAATCATTGTATTCATTAGCTTCCCTGCCTTCTTCCCAAATATAGTTGACATATATTCCACTGTCTATTTCTACACCTTGTATTTTCCCTCAGGGAATGTAATTTATTCCTTCATGGGAAAATTCATGACTTCCAGGTTTAGAGGTTGTACACTCAGACAGATTATAGATCTTAAACACATCTGGGGAATAATTGAGGTAGGGGTGATGACATATGGGAGACGTTTGTCAGCCTTGAACATATAAGAAAAAGTGTGTGCTAGAAACCTTTTCGTGAGTGTTCTGTTCATCTCAGTCCTTTTAGTGTTTTTGGTCTTTTGCCTCGGCCTTTTTAATCCATAAGCCTGCTTCTTGGTTCTGTAGAGCAGTGCTTTTCAGTGTGTGTGGGTTGTGATCCCTTTGGATCCATTCACAGGGGCTGTGTATCAGACGTTTACATTATGATTCATAACTGTAAAAAATTATAGTTATAAAGTAGCAACAAAAATAAATTTGTTGTTGGGAGTCACCACAGAATGAGGAACCATATTGATGGGTTGCAGCATTAGGAAGGTTGAGAAACACTGCTTTAAAGACTTCTAGCTGTTCATTTAGAAGTTAAGAATGAGAACAGAACTTCACTAGGATTCATGGTGAATGTGATTGTGAGCATGAGTGCACCTGCGAATTGGTGGTAGAGTGAGTAAAGCCAGATCTTACATTGGACCCATTGTTTTCCAACTTTCCAGATGTTCCTGCCCCTCATATTCATTGCAGATAGTGGGAGGACAGTGAGCGAAGATTGTGCTGATAAACAATTAGCAGATCCTGGGTTAGAAAATGTAGAGAGAATCCATAAGAGAGAACAGGGCATGAGGAAGTGTTAAGATACACAGGGATACAAGTTTAGGTCTGTCAAATGCTAAAGATTCTAATCCCACGTATTTTTGCCTCTAGCTCTGCCTTTGAAATCAGTTGGACAACTTTTCAACAGTGAAAGTGTGGAAGGACTAAATATCACATCACATCAGTGCAGGTTGGTGTTAAGCCTTTCTGAAACCTCCAAGTACCTGATGGTGTGTACTGGTATGGGACCACAGGGCCTGGGTACTCCTTTGTCTCTGTCACTCTAAGCAAGCTTGCTTGCTGTCAGTGTTGTGTATGATGGAGAGAAAAACATGGTAGTACTTGGGCTGGATACAGATATGCAAGAGTTAAAATGAGATAGAAAAGTTTTCTACTACTCCACATCTTCTACCATACAATTAAAATCTCCTTTCATGCCCTTCTGGGTAGCTATCTGTATAATGGACCAAAGTTGGAGGACACTCAGAGTCTATTTCTTTTTCCCACCTTAGGTCTTTCTCCGTGGTAGCCTCACATTGCCAGAAGATTGCTTTCAACGGGTCTGCCCTTGGAAATCATCATCTTCCCCCTAACCTAAGTGTGTCTTTACTCTGTCCCTACCATTGATAGAGGCTGTATGTCAAAAAAGGGAATTTTGTAACGACTAAACTGACAGTTGTCTTTGACTCTTTCTGCCAAGTTTATCTCTCACCAATTTAAAAAGTATAAAGATACCAGCCTGGAACAAACATAACTAAGGACAGGACTGGACAGGTATATATAACTGTGCTTCAACCATGACTGGTTCAAAGAATAAAGCTAGAGCACAAGCTAAACTAGAAAAAAGGGCAAGTGCACATGCCAAAGCTGTGGCAGAGAGGGAGGCTGCTAATGCAGGCAAGGGTTCAGGCAAAAACAGGGACAAAGCAAAAGGTAAGGTGGGAAGTAAAACAGATGCAGTGGCAGAGATGAAGGCGGGATCTAAGAACAAGGCAGCTGCTGAGATGAAAGAAGGAGCAAGGTCAGAATCTAAGTCTGTAGGAAAAGCCACATCAGATTTCAACCATAAGGCTGAGAATAAGGTTGCTAGATCCACACGTAAAGAGAAGCCTGGTAGCGATACCTGGTTCTGGGCTGGGGAAGATTCTGGTCTCAATTCCTGGTTCTGGAAGGGAGAAGAGGTTAGTCATACTGTTGCCAAGAGTGAAAATAAAACTAACACTTGTACCCAGGCACATGCTGAGGAGTCAGAGCCTATACCTAGAACCAGCCACAAGTCTAGGTCAGGGGCTGAGGAAGAGGAGGAAGAGAATGTTATTGGGAACTGGTTTTGGGAAGGAGATGACACTGGTTTTGATTCTGATCCTAAACCTGTATTCAGAATAGTTAAACCTCAGCCAGTGGATGAAATTAATGAAAAAAATAGGCCAAAGGACTGGTCTGAGGTAACTATCTGGCCCAAAGCTCCTGCTGTAACTCCAGCAGTGTTAGGTTATAGATCCCAGGACTCATCTGAGGCAAGGCCCTCTTCATTTATTGTTCTGGCCTCAAATGAAGAAGAAGCTTCAGCAGCGTGTACTAAAAATACTCGATCCAGCCTACAGCCTATTCCTGAGTACCCATTTGGTTCTGATCCTTGCATCCAGACATTAGATGACATTAGACAACAAATCAAGGTCAGAGAAGAGAATGGCATCAAGCCCTTTGCTTGTCCTTGCAAAATGGAGTGTTATTTGGATTCTCCAGAATTTGAAAAGCTTGTTAACATACTTAAGTCAACTACTGATCCTCTCATTCATAAGATAGCACAGATAGCAATGGGTATACATAAAGTTCATCCATTTGCCCAGGAATTCATTAATGAAGTGGGCGTGGTGACACTTATTGAAAGCTTGCTCAGTTTTTCTTCCTCTGAAAGTATAAAAAAGACTGTTATTACTCTGAATTCTTCTGCGAATGATAGACAACATAAGGTTGAATTTCATGTTAAGCATATGTGTAAAGAAACCGTGTCTTTCCCTTTGAACTCCCCTGGCCAGCAATCTGGATTAAAGATAATAGGACAACTAACTACTGAGTCTGTCCATCATTACATTATTGTTAGTTACTTTTCAGAGCTTTTCCACTTGCTGTCCCAGGGGAATCGTAAGACTAGAAATCTTGTTTTGAAAGTATTTTTGAATATGTCTGAAAATCCAAAGGCAGCCAGAGATATGATAAATATGAAGGCATTAGCAGCACTAAAACTCATCTTTAACCAAAAAGAGGCAAAAGCCAATCTTGTTAGTGCTGTGGCCATCTTTATTAACATAAAGGAACATATTAGAAAAGGGTCCATTGTAGTAGTTGATCACTTGAGTTACAATACTCTTACTGCCATATTCCGGGAAGTTAAAGGGATTATTGAAAGAATGTAAAATGACCTAGAAATGAAAGAGAACACTGAATTGCCCAAATTCTGATTGGTTATACATTCCCAAAGACTTTTGCATACTATTTTGGTAATTATTGCTCACATATTTTGTCTTAACATCTTTTCCAAATTATTACCTGTGGCAGGTTCTAGCTCAAAGCTACAACACTTTTGATGATTTGATGAGTATTAAATCTTGAGATAAACAAGTTTGTTGAATTCTATCTTACCTAGATTAGCAAGTTTTTACCATTTTACTTAAAGAACTTGTGATCCAGCTGAAGTACAGAAGTACAGTTTCTTGATGATTAGTATCTGCTTATATTTGTAGCTCCAGATGGCAAAAATGAAACTGCTGGTCTTGTAATCTAGTTACAGAACTAAGGTATACACAAATAAAGATAACTGATGGTACTTTTACTGTGTGTTTGTTGCTTATATATGCCTATTGCCGAATGTTCACTATTGATTCAAAAATGAGGCAGGTTACTATAGGCTATTAAATATAAGAGATTCCCCCCACCCCCTCCCTTATTGCAGCTGCATCAAACATTCATTACAGAACATGCAGTGGCCTTGAATTGTACAAAATCTACAATGTATTCATTTTAAAATTTGCTTTTATATTTATAATTCAAATTTTAAACTATTTCATCTGTCATCTCAGAGAAGAAAAAGGTAGGAATGAAAAGGAAGTATTTATTATTATTATTAGTTTCCCACTACTGTCAGATGCTTAGAATGAGAAATTTTCCAAGTTTTACTCCTTTTTTGGTGATCTGGTGAGCTAATGGACTCATTTTTATCAGATCTCATTCTGAGCACATCAAATGCTTTTTCCTAGCTCCTTACAGCTGGCAGGTGGCACAGACCATTTTTCTCACACTAAAACCCATCTCACTATCCTCCTTTAACACTCATTCCCCCTTTTTAGATAATATTCTTCACAGTTCAGAGATTGTTTTGGTTTTAGTAGTAGTTTAATTTTGTGATGGATAATGTACCCTAACAAGTTAACAAGTTTTGAGTTCCTCCAAGTGCATGTTGACTAGTCATTTGTCTGGCTAGATGCCAGGAGGAAAGTCTGAAATGAATACATGCATATTACCAGGCATTATCTGGAAAATCAGTATACAAAACTTTGTTGTGTGAATAAGACATAGATGTAGGAGTCATAAAGAAAGTGAAGCTTTCACGGAAGTGATCCTATCTGTGTGTACTTTTATCAAAGAGCCAGAATTATTCTGTACACTGTTTTATAGCATGCCTTAAGAAAATGAACAGCTTTTATTTTCCGTAAAAAAGTCATAAACACAATTTTAAATGAATCGTAACTTATTCACATATGACATGAAAGGAGAACTGTTTCGGATCGGCAAGCCTATCTTCTGTATTCCAACTTTCTGTGATTGAGAATAAACTTAACCAGAGAGATTTAGACCTAGAACTGAAGCTTAGCAATAAAGGTAGGAAACCAAGGTGAGAGGTTCCTGTTCCATCACATAGATAGTATTTTGTAGAACTAGTTTTTTTTCAGAAAGTTTCTCAACACTTTGAGGCTGTGTTTGATTTCTCCAACACTCATGATAGGAATTATAATCCCTAGTCTGAGATAATAGAGGAAAAGCCTCATATGTGAGACCATAGGGGGTTACTTGCTTTAAGATTTTCAGCCAATAAATAAATCATTTTTAAAGTATTTTTTGTAGCTTCTTGCCACCCAACTATGTTATAAGCATTTCCCCATTAATATCTTACACAATAATTTAAATTATTTTATTTATTTATTTTTTATATATAGTTTGAACTTCTGTTGCAGATCTTACATAGAGCACAAATTTATCATTTCAAAAATTATAGTAAAACATTCATCAACTTGCCTTTTCCTCTGATCGGTTATCTCTATAAATTAGTATATAAATCAACCACTTGCTTTTATGTTAACTTTATTGACATGTAGCTCACATACATTAAACTGTGCCATTCTGTGACTGGCAGGATCCTGGGCTCTCCTGGGAAGCAGCTGTCTTTCTGCATTCTCCCATGCTGTTGGCCAGGAAACAGAAGTGCATGCTCCAGGACGAAAAGGATGACATGCCAGGGTCTCAGGGCTCCAGAACCTCAGCCATGTGGCACTGAAGGCCCAGCTTGACTAGGGTGTTTTGGTGGCTGCTTTGTGCACAGCTGGTAACAGAGGCTCACTAGGAGCTCTGAAACCAAGAGAGGCCTAGGCAGGAGTGCAGTTTTGTCCAGGTGCACAAAATGGCTGCTTTAAGAGCAGCTGACCACTTAGACAAGTACTGCAGCCAGTAGAGCAGAGCAGTGCTAGAAAAGGTGGCAGCAGCAATCCATTCTGACATGCTCTCAGTGGCCAGCAGCATGTGGCTGACTGCCAAGCCTGGAGTTCATCAGTGAATTTCCAAGGAGGAGAAGAACCCATTCTTCCTCAGAATAAATCAAGATTCTCAGGCGGTGGTAGTGGAGAAATGGAGTGAGAGGGAGAGAGTGAATCAGGAACTTGTAACCCTTGGGCAGTGGGAAGAGGGTTTGATTCACTGGGGTAGGGGTGCCAGGGAGAATTCATTTGCATGTCCCTGTTCATTTGTTGAACAGGTTCTACTGGGAGAAAGTGAGCTGCACCTATTTTTTCCTTAAGGACCATATGACATTCCTCAGGTAGAGGATGTGGGGGTTCTGGTTCTCCAGATCAGGCAGAGAAGAGGGAGGCCTGCTGACAAGGGGAGTCCATTTTATGCCCAGCTCAGAGGCTATCCAGAAATGCTAGATTCCAACCTTACAGCAGGGTTTCCTGGCAAAACTGAATATTTAAAAGTGAATATTTTTTTATGACCCAGCCTTGAATATGTTCCTTACACAATACCATGAAGGTTTTTTAGACAGAAATGCAAACTATGTATATTCACCCTGTTTCTCAAACCATCCATATTTTTGCTCAAGAGCAAACACACTTGCACATTAGTCATTCCCTGTACTTGTAGCTTTTAACAGATGGAACCTTGGTTCAGACTTAGTATATTGTCATACAGTACACCATTTAATAAGTTTTGACATATATGCAACCATAACTGTACCAAAATATAAAACAGATTCTTTATCCATGATGCCTCACTGTAACGCTTTATACCCATCCTGAGGGAACTATTGATTTGCTTTCTAGTAACACAATCAAATTCTATAATTATATATAAAAGAAAGCATGGAGCATTTACTCATGGGAAGAATATTGGCTTATTTCATTCAACATAATCATTTGAGTTTTATTCATGCCATGTGTCTTAATAGTTCATCACATTTTTTCCATTTCCTTTTTATTTATTTTTATTTTTATAAATTACAGTTTATTCACTTTGTATCCCCCCTGTAACTCCCTCCCTCCTCCCCTCCCAATTCTACCCTCGCTCTTCCCAATCCCTGTCCCTCTCCCAGTCCACTGATAAGGGAGGTCCTCCTCCCCTTCCCTCTGATCCTAGTCTATCAGGTCTCTTCAGGAGTGGCTGCATTGTCTTCCTCTGTAGCTTGGTAAGGCTGCTCCCCCCTCAGGGGGAGGTGATCAAAAAACAGGCCAATCAATTCATGTCAGAGATAGTCCCTGTCCCCATTACTATGGAGCCCACTTGGACACTGAACTGCCATGGACTACTTTTGTGCAAGGGTTCTAGGTTATCTCCATCCATGATCCTTGGCTGGATTATCAGTTTCAGAAAAGACCCCTGTGCCCAGACTTTTTGGATCTGTTGGTGTCCTTGTGGAGCTCCTGTCCTCTCCAGGTCTTACACTCTCTCACTTCTTTAATAAGATTCCCTGTACTCTACCCAAAGTTTGGCTATGAGTCTCAGCATCTGCCTCGATACCCTGCAGTATAAAGCCTTTCAGAGGCCCTCTGTAGCAGGCTCCTGTCCTATTCCCTGTTTTCTTCCTCTTCCGATGTCCATCCTCTTTGCATTTCTGAATGAGGATTGAGCATCTTAGCCAGAGTCCTCTTTCCTGATTAGCTTCCTTAGGTGTACACATTTTAGGATGTTTATCCTATATTTTATGTCTAGTATCCACTTATGAGTAAGTATATACCCTGTGTGTATTTCTGCTTCTGGGATACCTCACTCAGGATGATCTTTTCTAAGTCCCACCATTTACCTGCAAATTTTGTGATCTCCTGGTTTTTTATCGTTGAGTAATATTTCGTTGTGTAAATTTACCTCAATGTCTGTATCCATTCCTCAACTGAGGGGAATCTGGGCTGTTTCCAGCTTCTGGCTATTACAAATAAAGCTGCTACAAATATGATTGAGCAGATGTCCTTTTTGTAATACTTGAGCATCTTCTGGATATATGCCTAAGAGTGGTATAGCTGGATCTTGAGGAAACACTAATCCTAATTGTCTGAGAAAGCACTAGATTGATTTCCACAGTGGTTGTATAATTTTACTTTCCCAACAGCAGTGAAGGCGATTCCCCTTTCTCCACATCCTCTCCAGCAAGTATTGTCACTTGAGGTTTTGATTTTAGCCTTTCTGTTGAGTGTAAGGTGAAATCTCAGGGTTGTTTTGATTTGCATTTCCCTGATGACTAAGGACATTGAGCATTTCTTTAAGTGTTTCTCTGCCATTCGATATTCCTCTATTGAGAATTCTGTTTAGCTCTGTACCCCATTTTTTAATTGGATTACTTGATTTGTTGCTGTTTAATTTCTTGAGTTCTTTAAATATACTGGATATTAGCTCCCTACCAGATAAAGGGTTGGTGAAGATCATTTCTCAATCTGTAGGCAGTCGTTTCGTTTTGACGACAGTGTACTTTGGTTTACAGAAGTTTTTCTGTTTCATGAGGTCCCATTTATTGATTATTGCTCTTAGAGCTTGTGCTGTTGGTGTTGTGTTCAGGAAGTTGTCTCCTGTGCCAATGGGTTCAAGGCTCTTCCCCACTCTTTCTTCTAACAGGTTTAGTGTGTCTGGTTTTACATTGAGGTCTTTCATTCAGTTGGACTTTAGTTTTGTGCAGTGTGATAAGTATGGATCTATTTGCATTTTCTACATTTAGACATCCAGGTAGACTAGCACCATTTTTTGAAGATGTTATCTTTTTTACATTGTATGGTTTTGGCATCTTTGTCAAAAATTAAATGTCCATAAGTGTGTGGGTTTATTTCTGGGTCTTCTATCCAATTCCATTGATCCACCATTTTGTTTCTATACCAGTTTTTATTACTGCTGCTCTATAATACAGCTTGAGATCAGGGATGGAGATACCTCCTGAAGATCTTTTATTGTAGAGGATTGTTTTAGCAATTCTGGGCTTCTTGTTATCCTATATGAAGGTGAGAATTTTTCTTTCAAGATCTGTAAAGAATTGTGTTGGTAATTTGATGAGAATTGCATTGAATCTGTAGA